ACAATCAATAAAGCTCTGCAATAAGATACTTCGTTTCTTTAAGGAAATGTCTAAGAGTTCACAAACAGACCACAGTCAAAAAAAACTACCTTTTTATTATCCATTACCCTTCAGCTTTAATATATTTGGTCTGATGTGTTACATTATATTCATTTACTGGGCCTGTCTCTTAATATCCTAAGAGACTACAGGAAATCCTGCAGTAACAGGAGGGTTTTACCAGAACTACTGACTTAAAGGGGAGAGAAGCTCTGGGGATTGCGAATAGTTTTAGCAGAAACTTCCCCTTCTCCCCCTCACTAGACTGGATTTGATGTCCCTCCAAGTACTTCCTCAGTTTCGTGGGCAGTGCTCTATTATTGTTCAAGGCAAACTATTCTGTAATTGTCTTTTGGCTTGTCTTCTTCATTGACAGCAGGGATCACATCTATATGTTTTTGTATCTTTAGCACTTAATTTTTTGGCCCACAACAGGTACATAAATATTTATTGAATTAATGGATGTCTTTATCTTAAGATAATGGACCTCATCATACATGACAATCAAGCCTGATATCTGGGAGTCATTTTTAATTCCTCTCATCATATTCAACTAATTTCCAAATTGTATATATTTTACTTCATGATTATGTCCTGAATCTGTCCTCTCACTGCCACTGACTTAGTCCTGGTTGTCACCACCTTTTGCCTAGAACTTTTGCCTTCTAACTGGTCTCTATCCTCTATTTGCTCTCCTTGCCAGTCCACTCTCCTCACTGCTATCCAGAGTTTATTTTCACTAAAATGGATCTAATGGTGTCATTTCTTTGCTTAAAAAACTTTAGTAATTCTCCAGTACACAGATGATACAGTATAAATTTCTTTGCACTACATATAAGACTGTTCCGTAACAATACCCAAGGTATATGAGGGTACTTCAAAAAGTTTGCAGAAAATAGAATTAAAAGATAATACAAAACTTTCTATGAAGTACTTTTGTATGAAGTAATATAAACTTTTCTGTGAAGTACTCTTTGAAGTTCACTCATATTTTCCAGTCTCTATAATTTTACCTCCTCCTCTCCAACATATCTCTTATAGCTTAATCTAAGGCCACTTCCACTCTTGCCCCCACGATATCATGCTTCACCTGACCATTCTCTGAACATGCATGCTGCTTCATGCCTTCAAGTCTTTACATACACAGGATCTTCTTATTTAGAAAGCCCTTCCCAATTCTCTGCTTGGAAAAGTGATACCAATCATTCAAGACCAATTCAAGTATCTCTGGGACTTCTTATCTGACTTTCTCACAGTCCATCGCTCTTTCCTCTTATTTCTATAGCACTTTTTAAATATCTCTAGCACAGTTCTTATAACATAGCACTACAGTTATGTAAGTGCTTCTCTGTTCCATAGGAAAAATTAAAGGAAAGGTTGTATTTTCATTTGTATCCCCAGGGCCTAGCACACTGCGGTACAGAATAGGGCCACAGTAAGTGTTTAAATGAATGAATTCCATACCTTTCTCTCTCTCGCCAGCTAATCCCTCCTACTCTGGTTTACATCTTGCGCAGCTATACCCTGCTACCACTGCTGCCACTATGGGTTGTGCTTCATGTGCCTGTTCCCTACTTCTATCACTTGTGGCCATAACAGCAGTGAGCAAACCACCTTTCTCTCTCTCGCCAGCTAATCCCTCCTACTCTGGTTTACATCTTGCGCAGCTATACCCTGCTACCACTGCTGCCACTATGGCTTGTGCTTCATGTGCCTGTTCCCTACTTCTATCACTTGTGGCCATAACAGCAGTGAGCAAACTCAACACTAGCAATGCCGTGGTAACTGATAAGTGGAATATTAGGTCTATTAAATAGTACTTCTAACCGAGATTCTCAATACTCTGCATGCATTTAGCTGTATTCTTGTTTAGATTTTCCAAGAAGAAATCCTAAATAGTCAGCACTAACCCAATTTGAGGATGACAAAGTTCTGAATAAACAACATTAACCTCAAAGAGAAAAGGGTTGTGGATCCTATAGCAAAAGAAAATGGGAGGAAGACAGGATTATGATTTCTAGAATAAGTACAGGTTACAGTTCCAAAAATGTTTCTTTGATGTTAATGTTTGTTATGCACAAAGATGAATTCCCTTATTTCAAGATTCAGAAATCATTACACAACTGCTCCCAAATACATACACATACACAACGTGTACAAACTTCTATTAACTATCATTTGAAGAAATTACTACAATCAAAAGTTCTTAGGCAGAGATTCAATAATCATCTCTGCTCCAGATGTTTTTTCCCAATATAATTTTGCAATATTTACCTCAAGCTTTTTAATGACTGTTTCAATCTGTCCAGAAAAGTGCATAGCAACCAGCTCTGCAGCTTTACAGGGCTTCAGGGACACAAGTTCCTGGAGTTAAAGAAACAGATGAAGTCATCTTTAAGGGTATATTTAAATAGAATATCCATAGATGTAAAAAGTGATTACCTACCTCAATATTATCACAAGCTTCCACACTGCATCTCAGGAGACCTTGATATAGGGCCTCAATTTGAAGCATACATTGCAAATGAGCCAAATTAGAAATATGCCATGTAAAAAATCAGAATTTGACAAAAAAAAAAGGTAATTCAGAATTCTTTAAAAAAAGAAAGCACTATAAAATTCTGGATTCCAGCCATGATATCTCCAGGAAGAACAGAGGAAACAAAAGTTTCCCAATTCCCTATCAATGAATTTCACCCTTGAGCTTAAAGTAATAACTTGAAGAAATGAGAAAAAGTATAGTTGCAATTTCTCTGGCTAAGAATTCTAAAACTTTACTTCTGGTGTCTAGTGGATTTCAAAACTGGAGTTGTCTCAAATCAACTTAAGGTCCTATGTTTTAAATGAGAATAAAATGTTGACCACTACTAACTAACCACTGTTAATAACACCTATACCTGTCAAATTTAAGACTTCCAATCTGCCCTCTCCTTGAACTTTCCTTGACATTACTGGCTATCCTTTTCTTCTTAAAACTCTTTTCTTCATTTCTATCACCTACTATACCTACTATTCCAACTTTACCTTCTCTGGGGCAACACTGCAACCAAACACATCTATGATGCATGGCTAAAATGCAAAGACAGGATGTAGACCAACATAGCATATTATCAAATAAAACTCAGACATGTTATTGTGATTGCAATATGATATATATATTAATTAGATATAATTATTACATTATATCTAATAATAGATATGATATACCTGTTAGTTATTCTTAGGCAGTATTTGTAGATTACTAACAATTAGCTGACACAAATAACTAGTTTACACTACTTTAATGCAACACATCTCAAAAGAGAGAAGGTACAACTAATCAATATCACAAACAAAATTGGGGATATTACTACTGATCTGCAGACATTTTAAAAAATAAGAAACTATCATGAATTAATTTATGATAAGAATTTGACATTTTA